ATATGTACTAAGAGAAGATCCACCAGTAGTTAGTGATAAACTAATTGAAAAAGAAAAAAAAAAGTTAGAAAAAATTTTAGAAGATGACCTCATAGTAAAAACTTCTATGTTAACTTTTATGCAAGATGACTTTATTAAGGTTTGCGAGCATCATGAAACATCAAAGAGCATACTGGATGCAATAAAAACTAAATATAACTCAACCTCTTAAACACACTTCCAATTGCTATTAAAGCAATATAACTCATTTAAGATGAATGCGGGTAATAATATAGTGGAACATGTAAACAAAATACTTGTTATGACTAATGACTTAGCCATTGTTGGGAATAAAGTCCCTGAGCGCATGTAAGTTTCCACCATCTTAAATAACCTTCCACCTTCATGGAGGATGATAACAATTGCATTTAGGTTTAATGCAAAATCTCTTACTTTAAGAGACCAACCTATGCAACTAGCCTTAGAGCAATAGCATATGAACAAATATAAAAGAAGTGAGCTCATGCTTGCTCAAGGATCTCCCAGATCTAGCCCACCCAAGCATAACAACAAAAAATTTCAAGAAAAGTTTAATAAAATGAACAATGGGTTAAAAAATAGAGGAACTAAACCGTACAACCAAGAATCTAAAATAGGACCACCAAAATGCTTCTTATGTGGCCAGTCAGGTTACTTCAAGAACCGTTGCCCACATAATAGAAACTCACAAAATCTAAATAATAGCGAAAATGAAAGTAAGAGACGTAAAATTGTTTGTATGGTTTCTGAGTGCCCGGTTAACATCAAAGGATGGTGGGTAGACTCAGGTGCTAATCGGTAATCGCAAGCTTAAAAGGCCTTTTCGAGGATTTCAAAGAAATAAAAGCTAGGGAGAAACACATTTACATGGGAAACAACACCTATTATAACATATTAAGTGTAGGAACTTGTAGGTTGTATGCATGGACAAACGACATTGTATTAACTAAAGTATATTTTGTCTATTGTATGAGATGAAATATTGTATCTGTCCTATTGCTCATTATAAAGGACTTTGAAGTCTGCTTCTGATCATTAAAAGTATCAATCGGAAAGCATAGACAAATTTATATGTGGGGACACTTGGTTGATGACCACAACTTGTTTTTTCTTCATATAAATGAGAAAGCTGATAATAAAATTACAATTTATTCTGGTTATGTTGATTGTGTAATAGTTTGTTGATGGATATACTTGGCATCTTAGGCTTGGCCACATAGGAAAAGACAAAATAAATAGATTAATAAAAAAATATCTTATTCCAAATCTAAATAATGTCGAATTTCCAACCTGTCAATACTACTTGTCCGAAAAAATGACTAGAAAATCATTCAATAAAAGGGATAGAGCTAATGAGTTATTGAATGTGGTCCACTCTGATAGTTGTGCACCCCACAATATTAAAACCCATAGAGGGATGTCATAGTTCATTACCTTTATTGATGATTTTTTCTAGATTTGGATATGTTTATCTAATCCACCATAAATCAGAAACTTTAGAAAAATTTAAAATATATAAAAAAGAAGTAGAAAACTAATTGGGTAGGAACATCAAAGTTCTTAGAACTGATAGGAGAGGTGAATACACATCCAAAGCTTTCAATACCTATTGTCAAGAATATGATATTAAAAAACATACAATTATGCCTTATACGCCACAACAAAATAGTATAGCTGAAAGGCGTAATAGATAAACGACAAGATCTATGATGGCTCATGCTAATCTACCCAAGACCTTCTGGGGAGAAGCAATAAACACATTAATGTATATTCTTAATATGGTTACAACTAAGGCAATAGTTCTACCCCTTATGACCTGTAGACATGTAGAAAACTTGATCTATCTAACTTAAAGAAGTGGGGGTCGACTGCCCATGTCCTAATCCTACATCAACATAGAAATAAGTTAGAAAATAAAACACTTTTTTGTAATTTTATAAGATTTCTCAAAGGTTCAAAGGGATATCGATTTTATTATAAAGATAAAGGACCCATAGAAAACAGATATATTAAGTTCCATTTAATATTATAGATGATTTCGAACCACTACCTACAATGGATATGGATAGCTTTGATGACTTATAACCACTACCTACACACCCAATATTAAGTGGTCAAAAGAGGTTTAGAGCTCCTCCACCATACCTTGATGATTTCTATATCTATATGAGTGAGAAAATAGACAACCTTATTGACTTAGATGAAATCCATGACTCTTTTGACTTCAATGATGCTATGAAGTCATAAAAATATCAAGAATGGCTTAATGCCATAAGAGAAGAATTATATTTTATTTAAAAAAAAAAGTTTGTGATCTATATGATTACCATCAAATAGAAAACCTATAGGTTCTAAATAGATACTTAAAATGAAGTTAAAATCTGATGGATTACTTGATAAATTTAAAGCTAAGTTTGTAGCAAAGGGTTTTACCCAAAAAAAAAGAGTCGACTATGTCGACACTTATTTCCCAGTTGCAATGTTTGTATCTATTAGATACCAAATGGAGGTAAAGACTGCATTGTTGAATGGTGAACTAAATGAAACCATCTACATGAAGCGACCCGAGGGCTTCATAATTAAAGGCCAAGAAAATAAAGTATACAAATTAAATAAGTCTTTATATGGTTTAAAACAACCTTCAAGACAATGGTACTTAACATTACATGATGCCATCCTACATATAAGAAATGAAGTAAATAATATGTCCTGAAGAGTGAAAGTAAATTCACAATACTCTCATTATATGTAGATGATATCAAAATAGCTAGAAATGACTTAGAAATGATTGATAAAACTAAGTCATTGCTTTCTTCTCGGTTTGAGATGAAGGATATAGGAGAAACATCTTATATCCTAAGCAAAAAAATAACTAGAGATAGAAAATAAAAAATGTTGTGTTTGAGCCAAGAGAGATATCTTGACTCTGTTATCAAAAGATGGAAAATTATAAGCCATTGTCTACTCTTGTTGAAAAGGGAGTCAAGCTGTCTAGAAAGGATTGTCCAGTAAAAAGACAAGAGAATCCTAACGTTCCTTATACACAAGCTATTGGTAGCTTGCTATATGCAGTAAGATTTACAATACCATATTTGAGTTATGTCGTAGAATTTGTTAGTAGATATCAAAGTAATCCAGGCATAGATCATTGGAAACCAGTAAAACGAATTCTAAATTACATTAAGCAAATAAAGCATCTAAAATTGTGTTTTCGAGCAGATAAGCTTGAAGTTATATGATATTCAGATGAAGATTTTGCTGGGGATAAGGATGATAGTAAGTCCACCTCAGGACATACTTACTTCTTTGGAGGGGTAGTTGTTTCTTGGTCTAGCAAGAAACAAGAGTGTGTAGCTAGGTACACGCAGAAAGCATAATACATCGCATGTAGTATTACTTGTACTTTTGCCGTTTGGATAAAGCGCTTCATAGAAGACGTGAAGCTGCAAATAATCGACGGACCAATCCAAATATTTTGTGATAATCAAGCTGCAATTAAATTAATTTAAAGTAAAGCAAATAGCTCCAAAGGAATACATATAGATGTTCAATATCACTACATTCAGGATGTAGTTGAGAAATGTAAAGTAACTATTAGTTACTTGCCTTCATCAGATATGATCACTGATCCATTAATAAAAGATCTAAGTGTTGAACTACTATTTAAGCACACTAGCTTAATGAGACTTAAAAATGTTTAAGTCAGTCGATTTTTATGAGTGACTTAGCGTGAAAATCCTTATGATAGACGTTTGTTATGAGAGGCATATCTGCAAAAGCGTGAGAAAAGTCTTATGATAAGATATTTTCTTAAAGGTCATAATCAAAAGTGGGAGTATGTATCGGCCATCATAGTCAAGTGGGAGATGTTGACACATATGGCTATGAGGTATTACGTGTCTTATCCTACATTTGTAGGAATTCAATATATTCAACGATCATATAGTCCAACATCCATATAAACGTAACCCCTCGTTTTTCTCAGAGACCCGTTGGAGATCAGGGAACTCCTTCATTTTCTCAGAGACCAGTTGGAAAAATACAACGGTTATCCATTCTTCTCCCTATAAAATAAGAAGCCAGAGAGATGATGCTAATAACAAGGAAAATGTGTACTCTCACTATCTAAAAAGTGAAGGAATAAAAAATCCAGGCTCTACGACCACTAGCCTCACAACACCCCTTCTATGACTTCGAGTTTAGTCTCTTCCACACTTTATCAATTTTTACTATCACTTCATGACTTAAACAAAACCATCCAATTTGACATCTAATTATTGGGAATGATTTGACATTTAATGATTGAGAATGATTGTGACCTCCATGTCTCCTTGTAAACATACCAATGAAGCTAAAGGGCGAGTTTTATAGGATAACTGTGAGACCAACTTTGCTTTATAGGGCAGAATATTGGGCAGTAAAAAACAATACATTCATAGAATGAATGTAGCAGAGATGAGGATGATGAGATGGATGAGTAGCAAAACAAGAAAAGATAGAATTCAAAATGAATACATCTGATAAAATTTAAGTCTGGCACCAATAGACAATAAAATGAAAGAGAGTAGACTTAAGTGAGTTAGTTATGCGTGGTGTAAACCCAATATAACACCTATTCAAATATGCAAGTTAATTCAAGTGGAAAGGTAAAAAAAAATTAAGAAGTAGGCCCAAAAAAGATATGATTGGAAATAGTGAAAAAAGATAAGTGGACTTATAAATTTATTAAGGATATGACTCTTAAGTACAATAGTGGATCTAGATTCGTGTAGTTGATCCCAATTAATTGGAAAAAAGTTTTGACGACAATGAAGATGATAGTTTTGCGCCCAACAAATCGCTCAACTCTGTTTGATCCGCGGTACCAAATGTCCAATTTCGTCCCGCATGACCACGAAAGGTAGAGAGCAGAGTAGCACTTGTGAAAAGATACGGCCAGTTTCTGTCACCGCTTTCCCTCTCTAAAACTCTGAATCTTCCGTGCCTCGACGGTGTCTCTCTCTTCTCTCCTAAAGTACGAGCGCTTTCTCTCTCTAAAAATCTGAACCTCTTTCCTCTCTCTCTATGGACCCAGGAACCTCTTGAAAGTCACTCAAAAGTGAAACCATAAAATTCTTCCTGACCACTTCAACCCATGACCCCTCTCTCTCTATCTTACGCAATTTCCAGTGCAGTTCCTCTTTCTAGATCCAGTTGAGAAGGTTTTGCCGTGACTTAAGAGGTTCGCTGCCCCAAAACGAGCTCTAAGAACTTGCAAAAACATTTGCTGTGAAACCCTAATTTGTAATCCATGGCGCCGCGTAGCAGATCTTCAAATAGATGGAGGTTTTTACAGTTAGCTTATTATTTAAAGAGACCGAAGCGTTTGGCTCTCCTATTCATCTCCTTTGTTTCTGTGTCTTTTATTGTTTGGGATCGTCAAACCCTAACGAGGGAGCACGAGGTGAGCTAAAATTGCATTTTTTAAATTCTCAAAGAATGAGTTTTTGTAGTTTTTTGGCTCTTTAATAGTTTATTAGTGTTCCTGTTTTGATTATTTGGCATATTTTATCAATGTCAAACTCATCAATACATCTGATCGCTTATTGATCTCATTTTTCATCACATTTGCCCAGAATTAGGTTGCAGGATTTGGAATTTCATAGAATATTGATGAATTTCTTGGAATATATGAACGTATTTGCTTATCAATATTGTATTTTCAGCTTGAAATTTCGTCCTTTTGCTTCATATAATAAGAAGGTTAGAATTCTTAATGAATGCATTAAGAAGAACTCACGTGTGGCACCAATAGGTAATAAGATGAGAGAAAGTAGACTTGGTGGGTTGACCAGCACAAACCCAATACGCGTGATTTAGTTCAAGGCGTAAAAAGGGCTACGGGGTAGGCCCAAAATCACATAGTTAGAAGTAGTGAGAAAAGATACGGGACTTATGGACTGAGGGTATCGCCCTTGATAGAGCAGAATAGTGGACCAGATTCGTATAGCCAACCCCAAATAGTTTGGGAAAAGGCTTTGATGGCGATGATGGTGCGTCATATAATAACATTTGTTCTAGATATTTATGAATTTCATAGCATATTACTGGATTTTGTTGGGGGATTAAATGTATTTTCTTGCAGTTATTGCTTGCTAGCTCAAAATTTCCTCGTTTTGCCTTGTCTAATGATATATGCTATTAAGCATTTTGAAAGCTGGAGGATGTAGAGAAGCAATTGAAGTTAAATTTTGAATTTGTCCAATTTGTTGTTTGATTTGCACGTGATACTCTATCTAATTTTGACTGCCATGACATTTAGACTATGTTGGTCGAAATGGTTATTTCTAGCTGAAGGATACAGTTGCCGAATGATTTATATTCCTTAAAATAAATCAGTTTTTTCCCTTTTAGCACATTTTTTAGCTTTCATTGAGGAATAAGTAGTTTTTACTTTTTTTCTTTGTGGTTTATTTATTTTTTTGTTGATGAATATTTATGGAAGTTTTTGGTGGTCATTAGAGAGACATGACTTTTTACTTTGATTGTTTTAATTTTGAAGATATAATGCACACGAATTTTGTTTGAGAGAAAAAGAAGGACAGTCGAATGCAGTGGCTGGGGATCGTTTTGCACAAAAATTACAAGTTCGAAATTAATGTCCATGCATAAAAAATCCATGTTTTTCCAATATGGGGACTCTTTGACTTTGTCCTCGATTTATTTTTGGTTATTTTTCCATTGTTTCTCATGTAGCTTGTACCAGTCCTGTTATAATGATTTATTTGTTTTTTTGGCATGGTGATTAGTACATGCAAATGTTTTCTGAATGGTATTCTGTGAATGTTCTGAAATATGTGTACTCCTAAATGGTCCACTGTTTACCATAGAATGAAACTGAATGCATCATTTGAAAATGCATTAATTTATTAATATTCTTCCTAAGCTAAGTCCACAATTACACTGCTCCAGATTGAGGTTTCCAATTTGAACGAAGAATTGGATAGGCTGCAGAATCAGGCAAGGCAGCACAGGGGTTTCTTTTATTGGAAAACAGGCTCGTTTTGCTTATGGAAATATTTCTATGGAGTTATTTGTGCTGTTGGTTTAATAGCAAGTAAAGCATTCTATTCATTGTGCTTCATGTTGTTTTGTTTACTGATTTTTTGTCAAATATTTTTAGTTGCAAGAACTGAAGAATTATCTGAGTAACACGGGTGTGAATGTTGACTTAATTTCCAAGCCAAAATCCCCTTCTAAGAATTCTATTCAAGAAGATCCAATTGACATTCATCGTCGAGAGAAGGTGAAAGAAGCCATGCTCCATGCATGGACCTCATATGAGAAGTATGCCTGGGGACATGATGAACTTCAGGTTTGCTTATCAGTAACACCTTGTCTTCACATAACTTCTCATAAGCTAGGTCTTTCTTTTCGTTTCTCATCAATCCCTAGTTTTCCTATTTGATGATTGTAGCGTATACTCTACTTGTTCATGTATATTAAAGGGACTGCATTTTTACTTTTTTATGATTATTTATGGTTCATGTTTAAAGATATCTATAAACTGGGATGTCAAATAAGCAACTTGCGATGCTGCTACTTATTTTAAACATTGAAACTTCTGTTTTGACTTTCTTATTACATACAACGAAGCCTAAATTGACATGCTGAAATTTTACCTAGTGTTGATACCTCTATATTGAACAGTGAAATGTCATGAATTGTTTTGTTCTGTTGCTAAGATCTGCTCTTCCATGTTTTTTAAGACTTCACCTTGTGATATTGAGTGTCTTTTATTCAAGAATTCACTGCTAGTGGAGTTCTATACTTTTTTTCCATTTGTTGTGTTATTTGCCAAGTTATACACAAGGTATCAGTGGCTAATGTTTGTTTTGGGTTTTGCCCATTTCAGCCACAGTCCAAGAATGGCGTTGATCAATTTGGTGGTCTCGGTGCAACCATTGTGGACTCTCTTGATACATTATATATCATGGGTTTACACCAGCAGTTCCAAAAAGCCACAGAGTGAGAATGTTGAGCTTATTTTGTTTTATTCTTTTCATTGCAGGAGTTTGCTTCTTTTCTGATTTCGTTTTTAATAATATCAGTTATATTATTTTTTTAATCACGTCACTGAAAGTATGATTTTTACATTGCCCGATTTCGTTGAGAAAGTTTCTGCTCAACTTTGTGAGTGTTTTGGGTAATCTTTATGGACTTCGTAAATTTTTTTAAGAGACCTATGGCTTGCATCTGACATCTTTTAGGTAATGACTAGGTGGATACCTAATGCCTATCCAGATAGATCCACTTCCTCACAAATTTCCTGTTTTCTTGTTGTTTGACTATAGGTGGGTTGCTAACTCCTTGGACTTCAACAAGGATTATGATGCCAGCGTTTTTGAGACAACCATAAGGTTGCTTTATAAGGTTTAACCTTTTAAATTCTTATATTTTTCTTCTCTTTCGCACAAGAGAGGATCTACATAACAAATAGTAACCTTGATTGTAGCATATCTGAGCTTGAGGTGCACAAGCATCCCTGTGTTCATTTTAGTTGCATATACCTGACATTCTTTTATATGTCACTTTGATTTCAGAGTCGTTGGAGGGCTTCTAAGTGCATACGATCTTTCTGGGAATAAAGTGTTTCTTGATAAGGCAAGAGATATTGCAGATAGATTGCTACCTGCATGGGATACACCTTCTGGAATTCCATACACCACTATCAATTTGGCACGTGGAAAGGCTCACAATCCAGGATGGACAGGGGTAATTACAGTTATTTTTCTTTTAATGTTTGTCTTATTAAGTTTTTGTAAATATACTTAATGCGATTCCGTTTATGGCCGTTCGCTAGGTGTCCTTTTAAACTTGTATATCTAGATGGACAACAATACCTGTGTCAGAATTGTAGTGTTTCCCATCCATTACTTCTCCATTGATTACTTGTTCGTATTGACTTTGTTCCCTTTTTTTTAGAATTATTTCAACAAAGAAAGTATGCATCAGGTTGTATTTAATGCAAGCATAGATAGACACATGCATAAAAGACAATTACCAAGAGTATATAGAGAGCATGAAAAAAGTGGAGTGTTCTCCTTGAGAGCCAGTGTATCACTACCCAGTCATTCTTTGGCAATGGCAAGGAACTATTTTTTGCTTTAACCTCTTTGAGGATGTGATTAAAATTTGACCTCCACACTCAAGCCAACATCTTAGATTTCTTCTTCTGCGTTCCTCCAACCTTTGTTGGATCTGTCTCCGCTTACAAGGTCTAGCAATAACATTGAATAAACAGTTTGATGACCTGTTAGAAGTGCTCTTTTTTTTTGCCTTTTGTTGAATCACCCACATCCTAGTTAGACCTGGGTTTTTAATAGAGCTAGTGTTAAAGTCAGCTTGAAAGTCCCATTGGCAGAAGCTATTGTGCATACAGCATATTAACTCTCTGGCTTTCACCATGTCCTGAAGTGCCAAGGCTCCAGAAAACCAAGCATACTTTGAGCCCTTTTTTAACCACTCTTTTGCTTATGCAGATGCCTCTGGAAATCGCTTATTGCTTGCTTTTGTAATGTTGAAGCTGAGATTCATGCCATGGCCCAGTAAAATGCTGGCTTTAATGGGAGTAGCTAATCCTTTGCAAAGTTTTTAAAAAGAAATATCTCTTCACTTAGAATCACCATTGTTCTGACCTAGTCACTTGGCCAAAGCAGCCGAGCACGTCTCTTCTCCTGCCACATGGCCAAAGTAACCGAGCACTTCACATGTCACGTTATGCATTGTTCCTTTTTACTTCTTATGCATCTAATCCTTCTATATATGTGACTTTTGATCTTCCTTAAATCCTTCAGGGGTATTTCTGTCATATCCCCGCTTCTTTTGTTTCCTTGTTAATAATTGGTTCGTAAATCAGTGCTTGACAAAATCTTTCATTTTGTGCAACAAGAAGGAAACTCTGATGTTGATTACATCTTTTATGGAATCTCACTAGAGATGTAGTGATGTTTATTTTCATGACAAATTTTTTTGAGTCGAACCCCTATATTGTTTTACTTTTCTAATGCAAGTTTGTCTAATACAAACCAACTAACCTGCATTTTTTTTAGCCTTATAAATTTGATAAGCAATGTGTTGTTCGTGATACCCAGGGAAATAGTATTTTAGCAGATCTTGGCACTGAACAATTGGAATTCATTGCATTATCTCAGAGAACAGGTGACCCGAAGTACCAGAAAAAGGTGTGTAATAATCAAGATCATGTCTTCTCCTCAATAGCGCTATCTCTGTTCACTTTGTAAATGCAAAACATATAGGAAATCATTTTTGTTATTAATTGAGACCCTTTGTGATTAATCTGATATTCGAAACTACGTTCCTTGTTTGTTCCTCCCTGTTAGGTGAAGAATATGTTTTTATGCTATTGCTATGTAGTGACAATAACATCTCTTTAGAAATTTACTGGATTTGACATCTCAATTGGGCATGCTACATTTAGATTTCATTATTTGATGCAATTTACGTGCACATGTAAGCAGCTGCTTTCATGTCTATAAACCTTCGAGGAACTCTGAAAAAATCCACCATTGCCATTTGACTCATGGTTTGACATACACATCTTGTTACCTACAGTGAGAGAATTTTTCAAATGGATCCTTTTAATTACAGGATGTGGTAGTTGAACTTTGATTTGTGTTTCCAGATATAGAAATGCTTAATTTGCAGATATGTCTGGCTGAAATAACATGCTTGTGCAATTTTCAGCTCTTGATCAATTCTGTTCCAGGAGAAGTTATGGTATCCTGATGAGTGTGTATTGTATTTATGAATATTAAAGGGGAATTGTGTGAGGCTACACGTGTTTCTCAAAGGTTCAACTAAGACCTCCCCTCTTTTCTCTTGACTCTTAGCACAACCTCTTTACCCTGACCTGCCTCTCAATTTTTCTCTGTCTAGCTTTGGGAGTCATCTTCTCTTTTATCTCCTTCATTTTCTCTCTTTCCAATAAATTTTGTCTATCCACCTCCCTATTCTTATTTTTAAAGATTTCCTTATGTTACATTTTAATAGCTCATATTTTCCTTATTATCTTTGTAATCAAGATCTTGTTCGTTCCCCATCATGTTTTCTCTCTTTCCACCTTCATGATTTTTAAAAATCAATTCATTATAACTATTGGATATTGCTAGCATGTTAACCAAACCTTAAACTCCATGTTGTCCTCTTACAAAGGATATTTTCACAGCTTTTGAGTCATTTGACATTTTTTGAAGTTGAGCAAGGTCCCATCTTCTCAAGATGGTTCTAGAAAATATCCCATCATCATCATCATCATCTCATCCTTATCCCAACTTCCTATTCTCTTGGACTTGCTCCTTTACCCATGGTTGTCCAAAATGGCACAGGAACCGTTGTCTGCTTATCATCGCAACCGAGTGTCATTGTGGCTCCTTGCTTTCAAGGAATGCCCTAGCTAACCTTTGCGTATTTCTCACTGCACCCACCCAGGTGCCAGTACAGCTTGTCACTTACAGGGAACACCCTAGCATGGCACATAACATTGGATCAGAATTCATGATAGAGATGTGGCAAAAAGGTTTTACGCTGGCTGCCAACCTAACACAACCTTCCTTTCTCATTCAGGCTTGGGACCGGCCGTGGCGGAGAGTCTAGAAAATCTCCCATAAGTACCACCTTACTTCGATTATGAAATCAATACAATGTTTTCATTATTTTAGTGGCTTTTTTATTACTCTGGTTGGATGATGTTGAAATGGTCAACTATAGAGTGTTGTGCATATTGGCCTCTATGCTTCTACGTGAATGAGACAAGGCCATGAGTTTACTTGATTGATTCTTGCTGTACTTTCTGTCGGACTTGCTTATATATGTAACTGCTGAGTGAGTTTATCTAAATTTTTTTATATAAAATAGTATGTAACTTTCTTTTTGAGTTATGAAGGTGTACTTTCTGGTTGATATACTCTTACCAAGATGAATGTTGTGCATTATGCTTCTAACGCAGGTAGAAAATGCGATCTTCCAACTTAAGAAGATCTTCCCTAGTGATGGCTTACTTCCAATATATATAAATCCCCATACAGGGTCAAAATCACATTCACAAATTACATTCGGAGCCATGGGTGATAGGTACATGCTTTTTTTTTTGAATAATCTGCATACTGTTCGACTACAATGTATGCTCATGAAGGTTGATGATTATGCTCTACTTTTGTACTGTAATTTTTTTTTTATAATTGGTTGTTTTTTCATTGATTATGTTGAAGTTGTCCAAAATTGTTGTATGAACACTCCCATGGGGCTGTACAATGTACAAAATACCATATCCTGGGCTTGCAAAGCCATTTCTTGCCCATGGCACCTCAATGACATTTTTTAAGAGATTTCTGATCTAAGTGAGGGATTAAGAATTTCTTGGAAACACATTTTCAAGGAAGCTTACTCTGCAGCAGACCTTTTAGCGAAGGTGGGTCCCCAATCCAATATGGATCCCTGAACCTTTCTTTTCTTGTTCACTTGAGCTGTAGAGCATTTGTTTAGACATTTTGGGGTTTTGTAAAGGATACTAGTTATAGGTGCCGCATTTTGGACACTTCATTTTTACTGCAATATAAATGAATTTTTTTAAAAAAATGTATAGACAAAATGCACAAAGGAATAGAAATACCAAACAGTTATCATCATCATCAAAGCCTTTTCCCAACTATTTGGGATCAGCTACATGAATCATGGTCAGTCATTCGTCTCTATCAAGGGCCATACCTCAATAAGACCATAAGTCTCCATATCTTTTCTCACTACTTCCATAATATTTTTTTGAGCCTACCCCTTGCCCTTTTTGAGTTTTCTACTTGAACCAATTTACACCTCTTAATAGGTGTTGTATTGAGTCTGCGTTGTACATGGCTAGTCCACCTAAGTCCACTTTCTTTCATCTTATCGCTTATTGGAGCCACACCTAAGTTCTTCCGAATGTATTGATTTTGAATTCTATTCCTTCTTATATTGCCGCCCATCTATCTTAATATCCTCATCTCAGCTAAACTCATCTTATAGGTATGTTGTTTCTTGAACACCCAACATTCCGCATCATAAAGCAAAGTTGGTCTCACAACTGTTCTATAGAACTTCCCCTTCAGCTTCATTGGTATGTGGCGTTCACATAAAATTCTAGTTGCACATCTCCAATTCACCCACCCAACTCTAATTCTATGTGCAACATGTTCCTCAATCTCTCTATTTTTTGGTATCATTGACCCAATATATTGAAAATGCACTCTTTTTGATATCTTGGGTCAAATATCAAACAATGAATTGGTTGAATGCCTTGTGAGATCACGAGAGAGGATCTCGAGATTCATTCTCTTGCTATTGCACCTGTGAATTTATTGGGTTCATTCCCATTGTGCTTAAAGGACGCATTAAGACTCAAGGCTAATTCTACTATTTCAGCAAACAGCCCCTTGCCTTAGCCAATGAAATAGTATTTTCTGATTCCCCTTCAACCTGGAGGGCATCCCAATTGGGGCTCAAAGGGTCTCAGCTCCCTTAACTGTGCTGTGTTAATGTTGATGGGTAAAGTTTTTAATCACTTCTTTGCCTATCCATTTCTAACCACTTTGGCTAGACAAAAAGAAATCTAATTGCATCCCAGTATCTTTGCATCTTTTATAGTGAAAATATGCATGTTAAATTTTGATTGTGCGTGCATAAGTTGACAAGTTAACTATGATTAACTCAAAAAAGAAAAAAAAAAAGGTTGAACCTAGTTAACTTGTACAAGACAATGTCAGAGAAGTGAGACAAACAGTACATTGGGTTAAGCCTGCCAAATGTTTTTTATAAATTTCTTGCTTATTATATTTTATCATATTATTTTATCATCCACATCTGCATATATTTTTTTAACAAAGATTGTGATTAACTATTTGATGCATTGCAGCTTTTACGAATATTTGCTTAAATCCTGGATACAGGGGAACAAAACTGAAGCCGTGCAACATTACAGGTGTGTCCTTTTTCTATTGTGTTTTGGGTTAATGTAATTTACTCAAGTGCTATGCTGTCACAGTATTTTGAGAAATCATTGCTTCATTACGATGCCTTGCATCAATTCCTTAACATTTTGGTGGATTGTATATCATTAATATACTCATGGTGAACAGAAAAATGTGGGAAACATCAATGCAAGGGTTGCTGGGTTTGATCAGGAGAAGCACTCCGTCATCTTTTGCCTACATTTGTGAGAAAACTGATGATTATCTTTCTGATAAAGTGAGTTTTTTTTTGTGATAAATGTGGTGAGTTCCTCATTTGCTGCACTTTATGCATAGCCATGGGTGAACCACCTTTGTTGTTATGATTTCAGATGGATGAGCTAGCCTGCTTTGCTCCAGGGATGCTTGCTTTGGGATCATCTGGCTATGGTCCTGAAGATGCAGAGAAATTTCTTTCACTGGCGAAAGAGGTAGATTTTGTCAGTTCAGCTTAGTGCTTCTGTAGCAGTCCATGTGGAAGTCTTGATAAACTATGGGACTTGATAATTGATATAATAATGGCAGTTCTCTATTGAAATTAATTTAAGTATAACATTGCAAATTTAAAGAGAACTTAACATATGCCATGTGCTCATGTTCACATCTATCGAGAAATGTATGCATGTTTTTAAATTAATTGTAATAATTTCATGGATAAATGTGAATTCTACAATTAAGGGAAAGTGACTTTACTAAGCAACAATTTAGGGAAAGTGACTTTACTAAGCAACAATTAAGGGAAAGTGACTTAACCATGCTTAGTTACTGACTTAAACTTCTATACCATGGTCCAATACGGTGGTTGTCTCATGGCCAAGTTTATCTAACTTGTTATATTTCTTATCATTATGGTCGTTGAGTGCCCTACCAAGTTGCTTCCCAAGTTGTTTGAAGTTTGAACTATTGGTTCTAGATTCCAATTCGAACCTCCTGACTCTGAGTGGAGAGCCTTGTGCTAAATATATATAGACGGCTTTTCTTTTTTGATTGTTGAAGAGTACTATGTAACTTGCCTATGTAAAATTTTTGGAATTGTTTTTTTCTGTAACCAGCAACTAACATTTGAATCATATAAATACGCGTTAAACCTGGTGCACTTCACGCATTTCAATGGTTTAGCTTTCAAAAGTTTCAGTTTTTCTTTTTCTTTCACCCTCTCTGAGTTCTAGTGCTCTTGAATACAAATTCTGCCTAAAAATTGTTATCTTTATGTAGCTTGCTTGGACTTGTTACAACTTCTATCAGTCAACCCCAACAAAGCTTGCTGGAGAAAACTATTATTTCCACTCAGGCCAGGTTTGATTATCTCGATTTTGACATTTTTTAATTGTTTTTTCCCTTTGTAATCTAGTATTCTAGATAACTGTGACTGTTGTAATCAGCATTTTTTGAAAGTGTACTATGATTCACCAGACAATCAAAAAATCATAGCCCATTGGGCCATCACTCTCAATTGAAATGATTGACAGTGATGGAGAGGTGGGGTCCACTGTAAAAGAATCTGATGGTGCCCCCTCTCTCTCAACATGATCATCCACTATGAAATGGATGGTGATGGCCAAATGGATCATGGGTTTTTGTTTGTCCCTAAGATTATAGCATACTCCCCCTTTATGAAATTTTAGTTCAAAATCTGATCATATCTTTTATGTGTGATGATACCAATTCCCAAATGGCAGGACATGACCGTAGGAACCTCTTGGAATATTTTGAGGCCGGAGACCGTGGAATCACTCATGTACCTATGGCGTCTAACTGGAAACAAGACTTACCAAGAGTGGGGTTGGAATATATTTCAAGCATTTGAAAAGAACTCTCGGATTGAGTCGGGTTATGTTGGACTAAGAGATGTATGCACTTTAGCTCATCAAAACTTAATTTATTCACCCAAAAAATCAATATTTTATTTTCTTATGGAATATTGGAAAACAGTCATGGAATACTTGCCTGATTCATTCTGATGCTCCGTAAACTTAGGATCTCAGAACAGTCCTTGTACTAGTCATGTTTTTAAATGACCATTGAACCCAAAACACATCTAATGGAATGGGGAAAGTAGTCATTTAGGAAATTTTTGACGGAATTAAATATCATCTTCTCAATCCCCATGTTCTCATCCATCCAGTCCCAGACCATGCCAATCGGGGCATTGTTTATGAAATTCCACGTTTTAGACCACTACCACCAATGTATGCATGTGTTCGTTAAAAAAAAAAAAAGCTCTTAAGGCTTTCTTAGCGCTGTTTTGATATCTTGCCCTTTTCGTCGTCCATTCTTTTTTTCTTTTCTTTTTTGAAAATGCATCAATTCATTTATTGGGTCTCTGCTTTGCTCTCTACAGGTGAATTCTGGTGTTAAGGATGATATGATGCAAAGCTTTTTCCTTGCAGAGACGCTGAAATACCTTTATCTTCTATTCTCACCCCCTTCACATATCTCCTTTGATGAGTGGGTGTTCAATACTGAAGCCCACCCACTGAAAATATTACCAAGAACAGATACATTTACTGGTTTTGTTAATGGAGAAGTTAGCGTGAGCCACGAAAGGCCCAGACGCACTGACCACTCTCTAGGGAGAAAGGAGGGTCGAGAAAGGATTGTTCATTAGGCTTAGTAATTGTGTTCACCTATAGGGTTCTTTCTGAATTTTAACGGTGCCGATGTGGAGCAGAGGGTTTGGAAGGCCTTGATGGCTTTCCTATCAGCAATTACATGCTTGTGGTCCTCTCAGCTCGAGATTTGATTATTTATAGAAGGATAGAGATAACAGATGAAGAAGAGGGGTTTCTGGACTTCAGCGGCTCGTCTCTCTTTTGAAGAAACTTCTCTATGAACGAATTTTTGTCGATTCAAATGGTATTCTATTATCAAATTCTTGGGAAGTAATTATTTTTGAGTTAGCACAGTATGAAATATATATGTAACGTGACTTCAAGCTTGTTAAGAAATTTCTAATGCTTCATTCTTACTTTCAACCATGATAGTGTGGTCTAGTATGAAGCTAATTTATGACAGTCGAAAATTCCATTTTGTGATTTGTTCCACTTACTCTATGGCCATAGGATATACGTTACACTACAATTTTGAATCAAAAGAGAGATTTCAAGAAAGGGTAGATCTATTCACTCTATCAATAATCGAGCTCGATTTGATGTATCGTAAGGGATTTTATTTTCCTATTGATTCTTACGGATTTGATAAAAAAAATTTATTGAACGAGACCAGGGATGAATCGAAAAAGGAATCTTTATTGGTTCTACTTATTGAAGGATTAGAACAAAATTGGTTCGGATCTCTTGCAAGAATGGTTTGGAAGATCCAAATATAGTGGATTTGCTAGCAACAACATAATGGAGTCGTCAATCAATATAGATTGATCTGAAATTTGATTTGATTCAAATCCAACGTGGCACCTTTGGGTACATAAGAAATGTATTGAAGAGATTCTTTTTAGGCCTTGTTTGATAACATTATAATATCTTGATATTTCTGGATATTACATAATCAAATATAATTTTCATTGTAGAAGGTATCAGATATTACAGTATCTAATATAATTTTGATTATAGAAGGTCTCAGACGATGTTTGATGGGTCAAATCGTATTTTAATTATTTATGGAGAGAATCAAAGAAAAATCTAAAAAAGCTAGCTTGTCTAGTTACCCTAGGACCTAGAAAAATAAAAAATGAACTTTTATGAGTATTGAGATCACTTGCAAAAATATGGAAAAACTGAGTTATAAAAAATCCATTTTCCAAAATTCTCAGAAATATGCCCAACAACTTCCAACAAATTATGACCCATGATAATGTGTTGATGAGCTAGTTGAAATTTGATCAACGAATGATAGGCTACTTGAAATTGTATCAAAATAATTAAGTGAGATGTTAAATAGCTCAACTCTTAGATGTGGTTTCATCGATTCTCAATATGGTTTGATCAATTTTCAATAGTAATAATAATGATGATGATAATGTTTAAATGGTCAAACCACTATACATAATTTGTAGTGGTAGTCAAATCACCCAATTTAACATTACAAGGGTTATTTTACTCAGGTACCTTTTAAAAAATTATTTAAAAATGTTCAAATTGCCATCATCATTCAGTATTTGAAGGTCTAAATAATAAAGGGCATTTTTAAAAATTTGGATTTTTTTTATAAAAAGGGTTCTACCCCTCTCGTTTAGGTTTAGAAACTAGAAATATTCTCTTTTTCATTTAAAGTCTGTGTTCCACATTCCACGTTCAGTCTAAAACAAAGTGGAGTATTATGATTGTTGCTCTTTATTCATCATCATAATCAAAATCATTTTCCAATTAATTAGAGTCGGCTATATTGTTGCTCTTCATGTTCCAATTAATTAGGGCCAAATCAAAATGATCATCTTACTTGTTCGCGGTCAGCTACACCTAACTCACTATCTTCACTAAGTACCCATATTTCGAGTGCCCTTTTGAGCAAGCAAGGGTATTCATTCATGTCCATCGCATTGAAGTCAGAATACCAAACTGCCTTAATTTCTAGAAAAAAGAAACTAGTAATTTGGATATTTTTAAATAATTTTTTTGAAGAGGTATCAAAAGAAACTTATAAGCAACCATTTTAACGTTAAATCGAATGATTTGACTAATTTAATGATTTAATCATTTTGAATTGTGGTATGAACTAGTGATTTAAAATTAGCCTTTTCTAATTGGGAATCATTGATACTGACTCGGTATCGGTCCCTGCTAATTCGGTTCCTTGTCAAAGCCAGAAGCAGCTTGACTCGGATGGATTTACATGGTTCCCACCCATCATATTTTATTTTTGATCTTTTTTTTTCTTTTAAAATTTTTTTATATTTATGAACCAATTGTCATACTGGAAAATCGGTCCTATTTGCCCATTCAAAAAGCTTGTTCACACAGCGGGTCCGACTTTTGAAACAATTCTTTGACCATTTAAGTGAAATTAATAATAATAATAATAATAAATAAATAATAACAAATAATAATACCTCAAAGAAAGGAGCCCTTCCGTATACATAAAGGGACCCTTGTTTTTAATAATGAGAGAGTTTTGGTGGAGCAATCTTATCATCATCCAATTCACAAAAGTCAGGCACACTATTTATATTAATGGGATAAAAGTAATATGAAAAGAGGCCAACATAAATAATACCATTACCTTGCTTATATCACTATATCACTTTCAAATATGGAGGCTTAAGGGTGCCACAAAAGGCCCAACAAGGAGTGAAGGGACGGACCCATGTGCCAAATCTAAGGCCCTTGCTCCCACTACCGCTTCTTTCCTTCTTTTTGCGAACTCGGTCTGCAGTCAAATTGAAACATGGAACTGACCGATCCGATTTTGGCCAGTTTTGGTGATGTGATCAGGTATTTTTAAAAGGGTGTGGTTTCTATAAGGTTGCAACCTTAAATCATCCAATTAAGGTGCACTTCCAAATTTTATCATAACTTGTAATTTTGATGAAAAAAAAATTCTTAAGATTATCTCAAAATCTATTTTCATATTTAATTATAAAATTTTCAACTCCAAAAATGGTTAAAATCAAGTAGATCTATGAACCTATGAAAATCTTGAAAATGAACGGCCTAGATAATGTATTGTGAGTTTCACAATCTTTGGGGCTCCAAATCTTTTTTTTTCGTATTCATCCAACTTGATGTCGAGATGATCAATTAGAGGTTTTTTCGACATTAAAACAACATTTTCCAATGGATTTTTGAGGTGCATATGTAATTCTACATTTTAAGGTTGCAACCTTATATAAACTGTTTCTTCTTTAAAAAAATTCAAAAAATAAATAAAATCTCAAAAAATGAGGAATTTTTTTGTAATGAGTTTTTTTTTTTAATTTTTTTTTTATCATTTTGATAAAGATTGGAAAGCGTTTTGGCTATAAATACTTATTTTATCTTTTTTTATATTTTTTTAAAAAATTCAAAAAATAACCTTAAACACATATTGATTTTTTTAAATTCATTATTTTCACTAATTTTCAATTTCATTTGGATGTGTTTTATTTAATCATATTTTAAATATATTTTTTATTTTAAAAAATATTTTTATTTTTATAATACTTTTTTTTGACATGCTGGGACCTTCCCGGTGAGGCCAGTTTACCGATTGCTCGAACCCAGCCCTTCGCCGGTTTCCGAGGCCAGTTCGATCTACACGACACTCAATGTTGAATTTGTCAACCGCTAACCAATCAAGTCCAAGCTTCCTGACTCGCTTTCCCTCTCTCATTAAAAACAGATAGAAATTTTACATGAATAATTAAACCGAAATTAGTGAAAAGAGAACAACCCCATTTTCAACATGATGTGTGAAAAGCAAATATCCCACTTCACCACTGAGCAACAGCATTAGCATAGAATCCATGTTGGGACCATGAAAAGAAGAGCCGACTTCTCCTGTTGTTTTTTTTTCTGATTTTTTTTTTCAGCATGCGCTCTCTAAAAGAGACCCCAACAACCCAAACTAAATTTCTGGAGAGATTCTCTCTCTCTACATCGAGCTCTTAGCTCTCTTTCATCTTCTTCATTTTTATGTCCTTTTTCCTCTCTCTAGCTTATCTTCGTCTTTTGTGTCCTCTTGGGTGGCCTTTTCTTTTTACTTAGTTTATGTGTTTTATGTGCTTTCTCTCTCTACATTCCCTTCTTTCTTTTTGGGTCATTTAGGAGTTAGCACTTGGCGTTTTCCTTGGTAAATAGTGTGAAAATGATGCTTCTTGCCATTTTCCATGTTTATTTATACGGCCTCGTGTCAAGTGTACAATGTGTCCTTAGTAGGGGAACATGTCCTTTGGCCTCCATTTCTCTCTCTAACCCATGTTTCTTCTTTTCATTCTCCCTTGCCTTTCTCTATCTAAACCATGTTTTGTCCATCTCATTCTCACTCTACTCTCTCTCTTGTTCTCATATTACTTATGCTCATTCTCCCTCTACTTTCTCTCTCTAACTTATATTTCTCCATTTCAATACCACTCCACCTTCTCTCTCTCTAACCCATGTTTTGTCCATTTCATTCTCCCTCCACTTTCATTCTCGCTCAGTTTAAGGGTGGCACTGGATCCGGATCCGACTTAGGACCTAAGAACCCGGACCCAACGGGTCCAAAATTAGACTCAGTGGATCATGTCCAAGTCCAAATATTGGATCCAAATAAAGCTGGGTCTTGGTCCACGGGGACTTGACCCAAATGGTGTTATGATTTAAATAATATTTATTATATAATATTAAAGGCACGGTTTTTATGCAGTCAACCCCGTATTGAAGAAATACCGGCTTGGTAATATATATATTTTTTAAATATGATTTGATTCTAATTTTAAAAGAATATATAATGTTTAACATGGATATAGCAAATATGATTTTTTTTTTTAAATTAGAAATAATAATTATACTGAGAAAACATTTGAACGGTTAGTCACACTTGGTTTTAGATGATCACCTATTTGCATCCATCTTTAAGATGGATGCTTTATACCTCTATACCTCATATTGTAGAAATGATCCAGCCCACATGAAATAATTTTTCATATTTAAATATGGGAAAAGTTTATATATAGCTGAGGCTCTAAACAATCAAATTAGAGCTTACCTCAAAAATTTCATTAGAAGAGGTTGTTTTGATGCCCAAATATCCTCAAACTAATCATCTTGACATCAAGATGCATGGACATGAGAAAAAAATAGATTTCAAAATTTGAAAATAGTTTATTTTGTAAAGCATTTTTAGACCGTAGTTACACTTGGTTTTAGATGACCACCTATTTCTATCCATCTTTAAAATGGATGCTTTATACCTCCGTACATTGTAAAAATACCCTCAAATCCATGAAACAATTTTTTATATTTAAATAAGGGAAAGTTTATATAGAAATGCTGTCCAGCCCACATTATTTTTGAAGCTTTAAACTTTATAAATAAATATGAAAATATATTTTAAAGCTATCACAAAGATTTGTAGTATGGAAACCACTTTTTCGAAACCA